TAGGTCCAATTTTTGTACGTGTAATTAAAATACTTTCAAGTAAAATAGGTATCCATACCCAATCCATGCTCATTTAGAATATGAAAGCAATATTCATACCCTACCCAAATTCATATACAAATTCTCGAACTCATATGGACTTCACTCATACCTAATCCATAATCAATGAGTCTATTTCAAATTTAGTAAAATTACCCGTGGGTGGATAATTGTGATCCCTAGCCCCATGTGCTATGTATTCTAATGTGCGAAGCTCAACACATCATTTCTCCAGCACAAATTGAATTTGTTTGTATTATTAGATGAAAACCACGCAAAAAGATTTATTCGCTCTACTGGCCGTAGAGGTGGTACGAGTAGGGTGATGAGTTTCAGATCGTATCCAGATTTGAGCAAGAATCGCTCGTATCCATATTTGAGCAGGATTTGCTTATATCCAGATCTAAGGCAAGAATCATTGTGGTTGGCGTGAAAAGAACCGTCGTCCAATCCAGAAAAGCAGCAGAGTTCAAGAGAGGACTTCGACTCACCATCGTCGTTGTATCTTCCTTCCGACATCTCTCTTCCAACTTCCAAGCCAATCTATCTCTAGAAATTTTCCTCCATCTTTTGAGCATCAACTTCTTTTGCCAGCTACGGGGCTGCTGTCAACGACAACCCTCCACCCACTAATGGAGGGAAGGGTTGAGGACAGAGGTTTGAAGACTCCACTTTGAAAAGAAATTGGGCAAAAAAATTGTTAGATATATGAGGTTTAGTACGATCTTTCAGGTTTAAGATCTCATACTTTCGTCGGTGCTAGTTGTACGTAAGAACCCCAATAAACTCAAAGTCCATTAGATGCATAGACTTTAGTATTATTGATTTTTAAGAACCCAATCAACTTAAAGTCTAGCTACGCCATTGTCTCTGTTTCCTTTTTTCATGTCTGTTCATTTGTAGTTTCGTTCTTCCTATTGGCTTCTCTCCTTTGTTTCTCTTTTCTGTTGCCTCCATTTTCCAGCTTTTGGGTTCCCTTTGTTGGTTCTATTCCCTTCTCTTCGTGGATAATTGTCTATGTTCCCTTGCGGGTTCATCCCTTTGTCCTATGTTCTTATTCTTCAGATTTCGTGATATTTTGCTCTAAGTGGCAAAGAAGGCTAGACTTACCTTAAAGTTTAGCTTGTATTCTCTTTCTCTTATCTTTCTTCTAACTCCTTGCTTCACCAAGTAAATCTAGGTGTTTCGAAGATGCAATACCGCCAGACTTGAACTCGGTTTGAAGATCTTAAAGAAAGACTATTCCTCATGGTTTGTCAACGAGACAAGGACCGCTCTTCACTCTAGTGTTTATCTTGTATGTCGAAAAGTGGTGGTAGCGCTTGTTTCTTGAGAATTGATCGGAGGTGATCTCGGAGTTCCTCTTGCAGGGTGGGTAGGATCGTTGGTGACATTCTCCAGTTTGGTAGGTCAAATCTTTTCCTCTTTATTGGATTGTTGGGGGATGTTGAAGGTCGACGTTGTTGGCGGTCGCTAATGATTCCATGAGCCCTCATCTTCAACTGAGTTGGGAATGGCCTCTCCTTGTCTGGGCTTGGAGTTACTTGGGTCTGGTTGGGCTTTGGACTGTTATTATGGGCCTTTTGGTTGGGTGTTTTTATGCCCTTATTGTATTATGATGGTGGCGGTATTTCCTTTCTAGCTTGTCCATTTGCTTACTTAATGAAATTATTTTCAGGAAGAAAAAAGGTCCCCTAGGTCCTAACCCTTCTACATCAAGGCTATCCCCATCCTATTCTACCCTTGCCAACCCAGCAAGTCTCACGTACTAAAATCATCATATATTAGCATAAGCTCATGCACATAATTTTTTAGCAATCATTTTTTTTTTTTGTTATGATGTGCAATTTAAAGGGCAATTGAGAAGTTGTTAATGATATTATGTGATTCTTCAGGACAGTGCGAGTAATTATTCTCAATTTCTCATAAATTGCATACCAATTGAGTTTGCTATTTATATGACAACTCCCCAACTTTATATTAGAGAAATTATACATTACTATTTAAAATTGTGGTTCGGGATTGTGCCCAAGAATTCATCCTAGTCCTAGCCATAACTTATTCAAGCGCATTTTGTATGCCCTCAACATATTTCACGTACATGCATGGCATATGTACGACTACATATTAACAAATTAAGTTGCATATTCATCAACATGTAAAAGGTACATGGAGTTACAAATATTATTGATTTCTCGTCACATAACTTATAACATTCTTTTATGACTTATCTCCACACATAAAGAGGGCCAGTGGTTCTACTCCCTCGTGTCCTGCTTGAAACTCTTGACCTTCAGACCATATCTCATGAACATCATGATAGAAGGCTGCGGGACAATGGGATGATCATCCACCACATTAATCTTATACCTACGCAGAACACAACAGATTATGTTTTTCATTTGTGTGTATGTTGTTTTCATACCTGAGCACGACCTTGGCCAGGGGCGGACCCATGGGCATTTGGGGTGTCACGGGACACCCCTAAATTTTGGAAAATTGATTATCCAACCCCCGGTGGTAAATTGCGTATAGAAAAAATATTATAATTAATCGTCCGGGACACCCTGAAATTTGAAAAAACGATTATCCTACTCTCATTCGTAGTTTGCATATAGGAATAGAAGTGGTAGTTTGGGTAATTCAAACCCGGGACACTAGTATTATTAATAAATACAATTTCCATTAGGCTACAACTTTTTTTAGTTGTTCTATTCTAAACACTGTGTAATAGCAAAAATCTATTCTCTACCTTTAATTATTTTCAAAACCTAACAATTAATCTAATTACAAGCTACCTTTAATTTGTATTGATTTTATGGTTGTACGGCAAGTGTTGAAAGTGTCTTTTCAGTTTTAAGTTACATCAAGAGCAAATTTAGAAGTCGAATATATGGCAGTTCGTGAATGATTGTCTAGTAGGATATATCGAGATAAATTTGTTGAGCAGTGTAGACACCAAATGTATTTTACAACTTTTTTGAGAATATGAAAATACATCGTGGACTGTTTTTAACTTGTGCGAATTGAGTATTTTTCTTATTTTAGAATTATTTAATTATATATTTTACTTTATTTTTTGAAAGAGGACACCCCTATATAAAATTTTTTGGGTGCGTCACTGACCTTGGCCCAGCCATGAATGTCGCAAACTTGTAGGATGACACATGAATAGTACTCAAATTCTTCTTATTTATCAGCACCATCGTGATCGTTGAAGATATCGTTCCCTTTGGATCTTTGTGCAACCCAGCTCTCAGGTCTGAACTCCATCCAGTCCTTACCACATACCTCTTCAAGCCTGCCTAGTGTTCTTGCCCACAACGTGACCGTTAGGAAGCAGGTCGGCTTCCAGAGATTGTTTCGGCTCGTATGACACAGACGGGTATAGCCTCAAATTAAAATCTTGCTTATGTTATGTCCCCATGGAGGTTGTTCAACGTAACTCTTCTACACTCTAAAACATCCCTTGTTTTCACCTGATTCACCAATATAATTGTACGTAACAAGAGAATTAAATTAAATTGTCATCGAGCTAAGAGTCAATCTGGTCATATTCCCTTATTATGCATGCGTCGAATTATTATGCATTTGTCTTTTGTTTTTGCATATTACAACTATTTTTCGTCTATTATTAATTATACGAAAACCCCCATTATATTAATCGCTCTGTCTCAACGATAAGCTTCGATCAACAGGTGATAATTATTAGCATCATCAATTCATTAAGACTCCCCTTCGCCTGTTTCTCCATCGCCAAACGGCTCCATTATCGTCTTCAGCTCAGGCCTCAGGTCCCTTGGACAAGTTCTTGGTCGCGACGTACGTGGTGGCCGTTGATGGGATGGGATCGCTTGTGACAATGAAATTGAGGTTATTTAGTGAATTGGAGGGGCCTTTGAACACGAATTCCTAAGAGACGGGGGACTAGCTAGGTTCCATTTCCATAGGAGGAGGGATGGAAGCATTTCGTAGCTAGCGAGAGGAAGGTTAGCAAAGAGCATAACTGACATATTTCCTTGCGGAAGTGGAACTATATATATAGCTAGGTAATTGTTGCAGTAACAACTTGTGTTTCTCTTTGTCTAAAAAGGAGGGATGGGCGGATGGCTGCAGCCTGCAGGAGGGTAATGATAATTTAAAGCTAGATTTTGAGGAATTGAGAGACGGATGATGGGCAAATTGCATAACTACTAAAGCCGGGAGTTTTTTTGCATTAGGGGTGAACCATCAAATAAATAAATAACTATATATATAGCATTTATACATCCTAGCATCTAACTCACGACTCATGTCACTGACCGTTTGATTGAATTATATTAATTACAAATAAGTCAAGGAGTGAGCTAGGTAGGTACAACAAGGCAATCACACCAAACCTACATATATAATAATTAATTACTAGGAGTTGAGTAAGGGGATCTATTATGAACTAGCTAGGTTGGGATGGATGGGCGGGTAATCAGGGTGACATCTTTATCAAGTAATTGAAGTGCCGTGAGATTATCAACTCTGAGGCAAGGATTAGTTGAACAAATGCTTACGTCCTCGTCCTCCAGACTGATCATTTTCGCTAGAGAAAGATGCTCTCTCTGAATTCTCTTACCTCTTCACCGTCGGCGACGAACCCAGGCCTGTCTGGACGGCCGCCTGACGATCCAGCTCTCATCTCCCTAGAGAAAGATCCATTATCGAGTGAGTCATCGGCACAACCTATGAACTTCAAAGCGTCACTGGCTGGGATCGCGTCAGAAACATCGAGATCGAAATCCCAATGGACATTTGTAGGCACAAATGATCTGGAAGCCGGTTCTTTCCAAGGCGAACCAGAGTTGAGGATATCGGAAAATCTCAAGTAAAGGCTCTGTCAGCCCTGGAAGAAGACGCTTGTTGTGCGATTACTGGGTCGAGCGGTGGCCTTTTCATACTTATGTTCGCAACTTCGCTGGATGTGGAGACCGATGGGTTCCCTTGAGATTTTGGATTTAAACAATGATACTTTTTTGGCGACCTTTGGGAATGATCAAGATTACTTGAAAGCCCTAACTGGTGGCCCTTGGGTTGTCCTGGATCATTACCTTGTGGTTCATCAATGGTCGCCGGCATTCCGCACTTCTGATAAGCCCTATAGGTCAGTGGTGGCGTGGGTTCAATTCCCTGAATTGCCCGTTCACTTCTATCACCGGGAAATTCTCTTTGCTATTGGTAATCTAGTTGGCAGGACGGTTAAGCTGGATTATCACACAGAAAAATTGGAAAGGGGCAAGTTTGCTCGTATTGTCATCGAGCTAGACATGAGCAAGCCCCTCCCCACGCGCATCAGGCTCGATGGAGAATGGCAGCAAGTATTATACGAAAACCTTCCGACGATCTGCTACTCCTGTGGGCGAATAGGCCATAAGGAAGACTCCTGTCCGTTGAAGCTACCGCCTCCTCCGCTGACTATTATGATGGCACCTGATCAAACGCAGAACTCCCCGCCGGTGGCAGAGTCGCCGGAAATCCCCGCCGGCTACGGCCCTTGGATGCAAGTGGTCAGAAAATCAAAACGCCAGATAAGGAAACAGGTGCCGGATCAGCCGAGATATCAGGGGAATAGATCAGGAAAGAATCAAGAGGAGGGCGTGAGTTTGGGAGGAACTAAAGGAAAGGGGAAGATTGAGGTCGGGAAGATGAATCAGGGCACAAAAGGAAAGGGGGAACAGAGCAAAGGGTCGGGTAGGGGTGGGCAACGGGAAACGGGTATTTGGGTATACCCGTACCCGTCCCATTTTTTAAGGGTTACGGGTACCCATATTACCCATAATATTATAAACGGATGGGACTTGGGATTGTACATTCCTAATATGGGTACCCGCGGGTTACCCGCGAATACCCGCTTGGGTAATATGGGTACCCGTTATTCCCATTCAATATAAAGGCAGCCCAACCCAATTCAGAACCTATTGGCCATTTCGGCTCTCACCCTTGCAATTTCAATTCCATTTTCCATTTGGGCCCAGGGCCCTTACCCTTTCAGTGAGACTGAGCTTCTCTGCTATAGATTTTAGCACTCAGCTTCTCTGCTATAGATTTTAGCTTCCCATGAACCTAAAAATTTGGACACTTTCTGCATTCAGCAACACAATAAAAGTAGCAGCATGCCTCCCATTTGGTTGTGTTGAATGAAACTTCTTATTTGATAATTTGGTGCTTGGAATGATTTATTTCTATGTGTTGTGATTGTTCATGAATGTGTTATTTGCAAACCGAGTATTTGTTATCGGGATGTATTTTGTGTCTTGTGATTGTTAAACAAATACAAGTTAAGTTTAAACTTTTGTTAAAATTTTAGTGGTTTAAACTTTGGGTATTTATGGGTAGTATGGGTACCCGTTATCCGTCCCGTACGGGAAATGGGTACCCGTTTCCCATATGAGTTTGGGATATGGGATGGACTTTGGTCTCCAAACGGGATTGGGTACCCGTTTAAAACGGGACGGGTATCCCGTCCCGTCCCGTTGCCCACCCCTAGGGTCGGGGCAGGGATTACAGGGAAAAGATAAGGGAAAGGAGGTGCTGGGGGTGAAAGCGGCCAACGGTAATAGTAAAGCTTGGCCGGCCCAGGAGTGGCGACAAGTTGAGCCCAAATCTAAGGAGATGGCTTCAGCTGATAGGAAAGGGGAGCCCAAGGCGTCTTCCTCCAAACCCACAGTGCTAAACGTGACCCAGCCCAATCCACAGGCCTCGCAAGAAGTAGTGGAGATGAACAACACTAAGATCCAAATCCTTGCTGTACCTGATCTGAACCTCCAACAGAAAGAGAATCGGAACCCCAACTCCGACGTTCTCTCTTCGCGAAAACAGGAGCACAAACAAAAGAAAAATCAGGCCCTGCAGCCGAAGGGAATCAACCTCAAAACGACCAAGAAATCGCTTCAGATTCTCAGCCCTGGGAAGAAGGAGATTCACTTGAAACACAAGCAGACTTCGCTTCCGATTTCCCTAAAAGCGATCGAGGAGTTCTGCAATACTGCTCAGAAACAAGCGGAGCTCACAGACAGTAACAGCGGGTCGAACTCAGGGGACGTGGCTATGGGGGAAACACCTATAGAGAAAGCCCTGGTGGCCACGGTTCAAGAAGGGGATAACACGATCCCAATACCCACGAGCTCATGAGCCTCGATCCGCACTTGACTCTGCTCCCCCTTCTTTTCTTCCTTGATTTTTTATTAATGGTTTATCAAACTAACTTTAAAATTTTATCCTGGAATGTGTGTGGTGCAGGTAGTAGGAAATTCAAAAGGGCTATTCGCCTGATGAGGGATGTTCACAAACCTGATTTCCTGATTATTTTGGAGCCTCAAATCAGTGGAGACAAGGCTAATACAGTGTGCAGCAAGCTGGGATATGATGAAATCATCAGAGTGGACGCGGATGGAAGATCGGGTGGTATCTGGCTAGCGTGGAAGTCTGCGGATTTTAGGGTGACTCCTCTGAATGCCAGCAAACAGCATATTACTGTCAAAGTGGAGAAGTATGGTCACGAAGATTGGATTCTGTCCAGCATTTATGGCAGCCCCAAGTACAAGTATCATACCCTTCTCTGGGAGCAGCTCATCGGCTTCAGCAAAGTTTGGAATCTCACGTGGTTCATCACAGGGGACTTCAACGCGATCTCCTCTCCAACGGAGAAAAATAATGCTTGCTCAGCCAGGGATTTCAGACGGTGTAAGAAGTTCCTAGGGTGGATGAATGAGGCTTGCTTGACGGACTTGGGCTTCTCGGGACCGCGTTATACGTGGTTCAGGGGAGATACAAATTCAACTCATAGAGCTAGCCGTTTGGACCGAGCCCTTTGCAATGACTCGTGGATCTCAGCTTTCCCCAACACTGTGATTCAACACCTTCCAAAGATTCATTCAGACCATCTGCCGATTCTTGCGACCTACTCCTTTCAACAGTTGACTAACGGGGATTCAAAACCGTTTCGATTTGAGGCAGCGTGGCTCCTGCATCCTCAATTCAATAAATTCATGGAGGATAGTTGGCTCAAGGACTCGAATTTCTGCAATTCTTTGAACGAGATGACGGGGAAGCTAAAGGATTGGCACAGGGACGTGTTTGGCTCCACTTTTCGTCAAAAAAGAAGACTGCTTGCGAGGCTCCAGGGAGTGAATACTAGACTGGCGGACTCGTTTAGGCCGAGCCTCCTAAAGCTCCAGATTAAACTCGAGAAAGATTTGGATGTCATCATTGCTCAAGAGGAAGTTCTCTGGTACCAGAGGGCAAATGAAAAATGGGTAAAGTTGGGAGAACAGAACACCTCTTTTTTTCATCAGCAAGCTACCAGAAGGCGTAGAAGAAACAGAATTATGGCTTTGAGGGACTCTAACGGAAATTGGGTTGATAGCTAGGAAGACCTCAAGGCCTTAGTGATGAGCTTCTATGAAAACCTGTTCACCCAGGAGGATGGTGTTTATGAGGATCTGATGCCTAGAGGCAGGTTCCCTCGTTTGCAGCAAAGTGATCTCCTGGAACTGCTTCACCCTTTTCATATCTGGGACTATCATAAAGCCATCTTTGGGATGAAGCCGATGTCGGCTCCTGGGCCTGATGGGTATCAGGCTGTCTTCTACCAGAAATTCTGGTCTCTCGTGGGAAAGAACTTGACAGAGATGGCTACTCATTTTTTTGAAACAGGGAATCTCCCGGATGAGGTTTTTGAATCCATGATGGTTCTCATCCTGAAGGTTGACCACCCAGAAACTCCGGCTCAGTTCAGACCCATCAGCCTTAATAATGTGGCTTTGAAAGCCATAACCAAAGCCATAGCCAATAGACTCAAGCCTCTTATGCCAAGTCTAGTTGCTCCGACCCAGAGTGGTTTCATCAAGGGAAGACAAACGAATGACAACATCTTATTGCTTCAGGAGATCCTCCACTCTCTGAGGAAAAGGAAAGGGTCCAAGGGAAGTCTGGTAATCAAGATTGATCTCGAGAAGGCTTATGATCGCCTTCATTAGAGTTTCCTTCGGGACACTTTGGGTGAGATTGGCCTCCCTAGTTCTTGGATTAGCAGGATTATGACGTGCGTGGAAAGAAATCGGATGCGGATCAACTGGAATGGCGAGCTGACTTCGACGATCAATCCTACTAGAGGCGTCAGACAGGGAGACCCCTTATCCCCTTTTCTCTTTGTTCTGTGTATGGAAAGATTAGCCCATCGTATTGAGCAAGCTGTAGAGGAGAAACTTTGGAAACCTCTTTCTCTCTCCAAGGGAGGTCCAAAGTTGTCTCATCTTTTCTTTGCTGACGATCTGATTTTATTTGCTAAAGCTGAAGGTGGTCAGATTGATGTGATTCGATCATGCTTGGAGGACTTCTGCTCGAGCTCGCGACAGAGAGTGAATCTGCACAAGTCAGCTATGTTTGTGTCACCCAATATCCAGAGAGATAGAGCACAGAGACTCAGTGCAAGGGCTGGGATTACTCTTACCAGTGATCTAGGCAGATATCTGGGTCTTAAAGCTATTAATGGCAGGGTCACTCAAGGCAGATACCAGGAATTGGTTTTGAAAATTCAACAGAAGTTGGCTACTTGGAAAACAAAGCATCTTTCAGTGGCTGGGCGGATTACCCTGGTGAAATCAATAGCCTCTTCCATGGCAGTTTATCCCATGTTTACCGAACAATTACCTGCTTCTGTGTGTAAATATCTTGACATGATCAACAGGCAATTTGTTTGGGGAGAGGAGGATGGTAAGGTGAAGTTCCATCTGATTGCTTGGGATCAGATGACCTTGCCAAGACAGCAAGGAGGCGCGGGGATTCGGCCAACTAAACTTGCCAACCAAGCTATGCTGGCCAAAGGGGCATGGAGCCTTGTGACGGACGACCAAAAACTCTGGGCTAGAGCTATGAGGAGCAAGTATGGGAGAGGAAGGAAGGGGATTCACATGCTCAGTAAAATAAAGGGAAGTTCTTTTGCTTGGAAAAGTTTTTCCCAAACTGTGAATCTCTTGAAAAAAGGGATTGCTTTCAATGTTAAAAATGGGCATGGCACTAAATTCTGGTATGATGTGTGGATTATGCAGGTTCCTCTGGTGGAGCTGGCGACGATTGAGGTCCCATCGGAGTTAAGAGACAAAACGGTTGCTGACTATTGGGATGCAAGTACAGGATGGATTCTCCAGGAGATTCAGCCATATCTCCCGCCCGAAATCATTGATAAAATTCGGGCTGTTTGGCTGGATCCTCTGACCAATGAGGGTGACACTCTTTTTTGGAGAATTACTTCCAATGGCAGGTTTAGTGTGAGCTCGGCCTTTCAGGCCATGACGCCGGACCAAGCTGGTCAGGAACGCATAGACTGGAGGAAGATTTGGAGGCTGCACTGCCCTGAAAGAGTTCGATTCTTCGTTTGGCTCGCTGCTAAAGGGAAATTGTCGACTGACAGTGTTCGTAGGCTTCGTCACCTCATCACTGATGACACTTGCCAACTTTGCAAAGAAGCTTCGGAGACAAATCTGCACTGCCTGAGAGACTGCACAGCCTCGAGGAAGATTTGGGAGAAGTCTCTGCCTGTCCAGGCGCTCCAGAGCTTCTTCGAAGCAGATCCGGATATGTGGTTTGGCATGAACCTGAAAAAGAAACTTGGGGCGGATGTTCAGGAGGATTGGCCAAGCCTCTTTGCCTTAATTTGTTGGTATGTTTGGAAATATAGAAATGATTTTATCTTTCAGGGAAAAAAGATGGCCGAGTCGTCCGTAGTCAACTATGTCACGTCTAAGGCTGCCGACTGGTTGAAGACATGGGATAGTGCATCTTCAAGCTTAAGCGTAGTTGAAAGACCTCCGAGGACGGACCAGCTGATCGGTTGGAAGGCGCCGCCGAGCGGATGGAGGAAAATGAACACTGATGGTGCGCCGCAAGGTAA